CGGCCGGGCACCCAGTACACAGCAGGAGAGGCCAAGGCTGAGTTTGTAAACTCCTTCAGTTAATGATCAGTGCCTCTTACACAGGTTACAATGGTCTCAGTATCAGGCAGAGCCTTGATCAGCGAAGAGTCAGCTACAGAACAAAAGCGACCTGTCCCTTCCTCTTCTAGGTCCTTCGAGTGGAGCCCGAGGAGAAGGGCGGGGTGGGTGTGGTCCAGCATTCTAGAGAACCGGTACCCCGGGATGAGCTGTACCTCATCTCGACAGCAGCAGTGGAGTAAGTGACAAGCCCTGTCAGGTAAGGGCATTTATCTTCACAGGGAAAGAGGCCGTTCCGAAGCAAGCATCTCAGATGTCACATCAGCTGGACACAAGGCCACAAAGCAGGAAGGCTGTCACTGCAGCAGGTCCCGGAGGTCCAGGCTGCAGTCAGGAGTGGGAATGGGCACTCCAGCTCCACCTCCCCGGAGCCTTGACCTTGCCTCTGGGCCTGGCTGACCAGCCAAGTAACCAGGAGCCCGTATCAGCCGGCTAGGAGCTCACACCTCTGAGCTGCCTTTTATTCTAAAACCTTTACGGCAAAAGCAGCTCTGCTGTTTCTCACTAATGTGAAGTAAACAAGGAAAAAATGAAATAAAAACAAAGAGCATCTTATCCATTTCTTCATTTTGTTCATTCATTCAACAAGTATTTATCCTACGGTCCAGGCACTAATCTGGGTTTGGGCTGGTCACTGAGGTTGCTACAGTCCCCAACCTCAGAAGAGTTAGATTCTAAAAGGACAGACAGGCATGATGTGGGCACAATATGTGCTTGAGGAGAGTCACAGAAGGTGGCTCTGGGAGCAGCGAGGAGGGCGGTAGGCAGAATCCAAGGAGGCCTTCATGGTGGAAGTGGCATGTAGGTTAAAGCTTGAAAGAAGGCTGTGGTCACATGGAAAGGAAGGGAAACAGTACCTACCCCGTTACAAAAAGAACAGCAGGTGTGTTTGGGGCATGGATGAAACTGGAATGACTGAAGCACTGACGGGAAGGAGGTTGGGGCACGAGACAGGAGTATTATGCAGATGGTTCTGAGGAATGAGAGAACAGAGCAGCATGGATGGTGCTTACATGCATTTCAAATGCATCTATTTAAAGGTGATTATCCATAGGTTTACTAACAAGATACTAATGAAAAAAAGAGATAAACCTAGATATCCCATGAGAATCCTGTAATGATTTTTAAAAGCTGAGTAATCATTAAACAATTATTAAAATTCTATTGTATATACTGGTGAGTTACTTAAAATTTATAGAGAAGGTACTTTTTAAAATATCTTCGTTTTTAAATTGATTTTAGAGAGAGGAAGGGAGAGGGAGAGAGAGATAGAAACAATATTGATGAGAGTCATTGATTGGCTGCCTCCTGCATGCCCCCGACTGGGGATCAGGCCTGCAACCCAGGCATGTGCCCTGACTGGGAATTGAACCATGACCTCCTAGTTCATAGGTCGACACTCAACCACTGAGCCATGCTGGCTGGGCAAAAAAATACTTATTTTTAAGGTATAGTGCCTTTCATAGTCCCCACCCCTAACACATAAAACCCCATGATTTTAAACAGCTAAAACTATACAATTCAGAAGTGAGAAGCTTCTTTCCTTCTGTCTTCCATTCTCAATGGTCCATGTTATACTCCTCTCATCACAGTGTTATTAATTACACCCACACGGGAGTTAGAATAGGTTTAACCCTCACCATGCCACTTGCTAACTGTGTGACACCAGGCAAGCTATTCACCTCTCTGAGCCTGTTTCCTGGGATGGACCATCTCCCAAGGTTGCCACAGTGTCTGGGGAGACAGTGATTAGGGTGGGTATTCCTATTCCCATTTTACTGAAGTGTAAACGAGATCAGGGAAGTTGCAAGACTTGCACAAGGACACAGCTCCCCTCGGCCCTCGGGCTTCACACCAGGGCTTCTGACTCACTTCCACGTAGTTCCCTTCACTGTCATAATTTGTTTGAGGGTGGGGGAGGGGCGTAGTGATTTTCAATGGTAAATATAATAAATTTCAACTATGGTGACCTTTTCATACTGTGGAAATAAAAGTTTTTTAATAAAGCGGGAATGGAGAAATAATGAACAAAAATAGCAGTGGATGGACACTTTAAATGGGTGAACTGTATGGTATGTGAATTATATTTTAATAAAGCTTCTAAAAACTGAAACTGCGCTAGCTGAGAGGTGCACAAGGAGGCATTTAGAAGGGGCTCAATTCTGGGGGGGGTCCCACTTGTTGCTTCATCTCTCAGCTGTGCAATAGGGAGGGCTGAGACCGCCTGCACTGCCTCTGCCTGGGGTTTGGATAAAAGGACCCTCAGTGGTAAAACCCATCACGGTGCACGTGGGCTCGACTGCAGCAGGAGGGCACTGCAGAGAGCTCGAGAATAAGGGGCCTTTACTTATTAATTTCTAATGACACACGGGCCTCCTAAATTGCACAGGAAGAGAGGCAGCCCGACTCGCGAGCACCTGCTCATGAGGTCACCCTCTCAAAACACTGAAGTCACTGCAGTAGCAGCAGCAGCAAGTGCTGGGAAGTGCAGATTACACGAGCTGTCCCAGCAACGGTCACCACAGAGCCAGGAGGGCCCGTCCTCCAGCTCGAGGGCTTCCTGACCGGCTGGCAGGACAGGCTGGTAGAGAGGTTCCGCTCTACCTGTCCCATGGGTCGAAGAATGAACATAAACACGAACACGGTGGAGACCTGCGGGCCTGCAACAGTCCCCAGCCCCGCCTGGGCTGCTGCTCAGGGCCCACACCCGCCAGGCTCGGAAACAGCGCTCTTCCGAGCTTCCTTCCCACTCTAGGAAGGAAATGAAAATGAAGCGTTCCTTGTTTTCTTTTCCAGGACGAAGACCACCTCACTGTGCCAAATTCCTAATTTACTGCTTTCGCGGGAGTGCAACATCAACACAAGCCTTACACAACCAAGATACAGCGTGATTCTCTGCTGCTTGGAAAGGGCTGAGGTCATTTTTGCCCCAGGTCCCGCAAAGTGGTGAGCTTAAGCTCAGGCCATTTAGCTCACAGTCAGGTGCAATAAAATCAGCAGAAAACATAAATGGGAAAGCACACCAAAAACGTAACCATAGTAACACCACAGATGCGTCAAGAAATGGTGTGCCCATGTGCTTCATTCCCCATTTCTTAAATTGGAATCTAAGCAGGGGAAAGAGTACATGGAGAGCCACCATGATTCTGCTATCACTAAATTCTGCGAAACTGCATTCAACCCGCTGTTCTAGAACTCTGGCGGCGGCGGAAGACCTACAGAAACAGCCCTGATGGTTTGAGAGATGCCACTTAGCACTAACTTCATCTCCCCAACTGTTTTCTCATCTGTAAGTGGGTATTAAAAATCCCAACCTCAAAAGGTTTTTCCAAGAGTAAGGCTGCACAGTTTATCAGAAGCAGGGCCATGGGGGACTCAGAAGACCCAAGGCCCTGGTCACCTTTAAGCCTGTTTTTATTGGCTTACTTAGTGCCTTGGTTTCTTCACCTATAAAAATAGAATGACAATCCCTGCTTTACCCGTGTAATTAACATTAGAAATTATTACTAATAAAAGCATAAGGAATTATTATTAGGATTATAGTTTTCAATTCCAGTGCTGAAAGCCCAAGAGAACTGAGGGCCAGAAATTCCCATTAATACATTATGACAACATTCTCTCCGTCCAATGCTCTGCCACGCAGCAGAAAGAGGCCACTCTGGGGCACTGACTCAAGTTACGTGAAGTCGAGCTCTTTCCTCTTGGAACCTTGATTTTATTCATAAGTAAAACAGAGGGCGGGGGGTGTTGTAGAATCTGCTCTCTAAGGGTCCCAGTCTAGGTTCTTGGCCTCTGTCCTTGCAGAGCCTACGATGAGATTATGTTTAATATTTCGCAGTACTATCAGGAAACACGTGCACTCTCACGCATGACTTGTGAAATATTATTTTTTAAAGAAAAACGTTTATAGCCAATAAATCACAGCAATAAGCAGGGTACCCTGAACTCCAATTTATTTTTCCTTCTTTTGCCTGGTTAAAATATGGTATTTCTAAAAAGATATTTCAAACTTTGAAGTATGGCGTAATAGAGAGGAGCCAAGAAAACTTCTAAGTAATAAAACCAGAATCACTCTTTCTTCTTATTTTGAATGAAATCAGGTAATTGTATGTCTTCCCAGGATTTCTACCTCAAGTTTAGCTGTATGGGGACGAAGTTTGGTAGCCTGGGGACACTGCACTACGACTGAGCACCAGTCTCCTACCTCCCAGGCTTCCCTGCTTCCAAAGTGAGTCTGAAGGCCTCTGGCCTGGTCCACACCCGCAATAACCATGGTTAACATTCGTGGAGGCGGACGGCCTGCATTCCACACGAGATCGGGGCGCCTCATCCCACTCACTCCTCAGGACAGTTCTACGGAGTTAGTGAGACTGAAATGTCCTTTTCACTGATGTGAAAACCGAGCCTGACAGGGATAAATAGTCTGCCGCATTATAGGCTGGTAAGTGGCAGAGCCAGCACTGGGAAGCCGAGTAACCCGCCCCGTGCTGTGCTGTGCTGTGCTGAC